CTCACACTAACTCAGCTTAGAGGGAACACTGCGAGTCTGGAGCCCTCCGTCCCGAGCTAAGAGAAAACTGTGTGAGCCGGAGGCTAAAAAACTGAGAGCTAGCTCACACTAACTCAGCTCAGAGGGAACACTGGACCGTTCTTGTCGGTCCACACAGAGCATCGGCCATGTCCAGTGAGTCCTACTTGGAAACGCAAGAGATCACACCAAAACTCATGGTTGAACGCTACCTTTGTCTTTGCTTTCCGTTTGTGAACTCTGAGTACAGCTCGCAAGCCACTGCTGTAGAAAAACCAGGGCCATTTTTGGGCAGGAACACACGCCTTTGTCTTTGCTTTCCGTTTGTGAACTTTGTGAGTACAGCCTGCAAGCCACTGCTGTAGAAAAATCAGGGCCATTTTTGGGCAGGAACGCACAGGAACGGAGTTCCGGCTGGCTTCAGAGTTGGCCACGCCCACTACAGCCAAAACCTCTGCATGCGAGGCTACAGAGGGAAGGCCTGGAGAGCGACACACACACCCCAGGAAACTCCGAGGTGGGTGGGCCAGAAGGGACCCTGGAAGGATCGGGGAGGCGTTTAAATGCCTCCCCTTCCCTTCAAAGGGGGGCTTGCCCAGGCAAACCAAGGGAATGCATGGGGGTGTGGTCTAATATGCTAATGAGTCTCTGCTGTTGGGTGTGGCCTGTTATGCTAATGAGTTCCTGCTGGGCTTTTTCTACAAAAAGAGACCTGAGAAAAACTAACCTCATATGCTGAGTGGTGGTGGAAAGTGCCTTCAGGTCACAGCCAACTTATTGCGACCCTGAGTCTCCAAGGCAAGAGACGTTCAGAGGCGGTTTGCCACTGCCTGGGTCGCAACCCTGGACTTCTCTGGTGGTCTCCCATCCAAATACTAACCGGGGCCGACCCTGCTTAGCTTCCCAGATCTGACGAGACCGGGCTGGCCTGGGCCATCCAGGTCAGGGCGCTATACTGAAGACCATGCCAAACGGAAGAGGCTGACCCAAACTCCGAGCCCCCACCCCAAAAACCATACTCACATCATGGCCACGTTGCTGCCATCAATAATGACCCTCCGCAGATTCTTCTCCCCCGGTGTGTTGGCCAGCGTGAGCTTGAACTGAGTCCTGAGCGCCTCTTCGAAGCGCTGGGCCCCAGTCACCGTCGAAACAGCGCCAGGGTTGGGGGGTCCTAGACTGGAGCTTTCCGCTGAATGGCTCTCCTCAGAATCCCATGTGGAGAAAAAGGGGTTAGCGTTGGGGGGCCTGTCCGGAGAGAAAGTAGGAACGCCTGCGTCAATGGGTGGGACGCGGACATCCTCACGGAAAGGGGATGCGCGGTTCCTCCCCGTCTCCTGATGGCTCCTGTGCTGCGACGATTCTTCATGATTCAAGATGGCCGCCCTTCGGACACCTCCATGTTCCACCTTTGTTGTAGATACCCCGACGGCCCCCTCAGCCTCACCTTGACGTTCCTCCTTTTCGTTGAGTTGCCTCAGCAGGTCTGCCAGTGGAGCACCTGTCTGTATCCCTGTGGGGATCTTGCTGGGCGAGTGGCCGCAATTAGCAACTGCCGTTTTGATGACTTCCAAGAGATATTCATCTTTATCCTGGATCTTCTCCGGCGGAGGGGAAGGGTGCTCTGTGTCCCCCGGCTCCTTTCGGAGGAGGCCAGGGTCATCTTTCTTGGACAAGCCTGCCTCCTCCATCTGGACCCTATCCAGAATAGTCGAAGGGGCCTCCCGCACCCCACCCTCCAAGAGTACCTTTTTGACTAACCGCTCCTCATAGCCCATGGTTTTAAAGAAGTTGAGCCTCATTTTGAACTCCTTCTCCATCCCCGATGACAGCAAGGTGTCCGACGAAGAAGAGGACAACTCTTCCTCACTGCTCTCTTCCGGCAAACTCCCAGGGCTGGATTCCCTGGCGCGGAAAGTATCCTTCCCTTCCTCTAGGTGGTCCTCCAAAGACTCTGCAAGGCCTGAGAAACCAGGAAAAACCTGAAACTTATGAGGAGCAACTGGAATGGGTTTGGGGGAACTCTTGGGATGCGTTAGCCTCGGGGAGGTTGTCTCATCAGACCAGCCCCGTAGACCATTCAAGCCTGCCAAATAGTCTTGCGGCCTAGCCTCGGCGCAACCTTTGGGAGAGTCAACCTTTGAGACCTGAGACGGAGTCTGCTCTCGAGGCCTAACAACTATGGAAGGTACGTGAGTCCTAAAATCTCCAGGCCTAGCTGAGTACTGTGGCTGGGGAGAACCTTGAGGCTTGTGAAGAGACTGCTGAGGCCTAGTGAAGCCTGCATGGAAGTCAGAGCCAGAGTCCCCAAGCCTACTCTCTCCCCGAACTCTACTGAGCCCCATGGGCGCACCTGAGGTAATCTGAGGCCTACCTGGAGACCGAGGCCTACCGCCACCCCCCGTTTCAGTTTCCCACTGTGGCAAACGGTCTTGCCTAAAGCCCGGTGGCGACAAACACCCATTCCTCTGCTCCCCCTCTTCTTCCTGAATCTCCTTCACCAAGCTGAGCAACTCCTCCTTCACTGCCGTGGGTAGGATCAAGAGGTCCATGGCATATTTGTCATCGTAGGCCTCCACCAGTTCCTGGAAGGCTCTCTTGACCTGGGCCTCCCGTTCCTCTTCCAGTTTGGGGTTCTTCTTGTATTTTTCCACAAAATCCTGGATTCGACTCTGGGCCATGACAAAGGCTTCGGCCAAGCCGGAGACCAAAATGGAGCCAGGGCGGAGAAGAGTGAGGTCTGCGGATGTCCCCTGGGTGAGGCAGTTCAAGAACAATCCTTGGGCCCCCAGGAAGACGCACTGCATGTCTTTAGGGTACCAAACCTCCTCATTCAGCTCTGGGGCACAGAGGCCTTTGATGTATTCCTGGGAAAACAGGGCAGAAAGCTCCGTAAAGCCAAACAACCTCCTAGGGCAGTGATGGCGAATGTTTTAGAGGCCAAGTGCCCAAACTGCGATCCAAAACCCACTTATTTATTGCAAAGTGCCAACACGGCCACTGAACCTGAGGTTTTACTTTAGAAAAAACAACTCAGACATTAACTTAAGATGATCCAAACAAAGTAAGGAGAGCAATCCCAAATGCTTTCATTGACTTAAAATTATTTGGCAGAGAGAATTCGACACTTTAATGATGGTCTGGGCCTGGCTGGGGCGATGGCACGCGTGCCCACAGAAAGGGCTCTGAGTGCCACCTCTGGCACCCGTGCCATCGGTTCGCCACCACTGTCCTAGGGCAACTTGAGAAGTGCAGCTGTGAAGTCAGGGAGGAGCCATGGCTCAGCAGTAGAGCACCTGCTTGGCACGCGGAAAGTCCCAGGTTCAATCCCTGGCCTCTGCAGTTCAAAGGATCAGGTGACGTGAAAGACCTCAGCCTGAGACCCTGGAGAGCTGCTGCTGGTCTGAGTAGACAATACTGATCTTGACGGACTGACGGTCCGGTTCTATAGAAGTCCGCTTCAGACGTTCCTCTGTCTCTTGCAGCCAAAACAAACAAACAAGGCCTGATCCACATGAGCAAACGAAGCTGCCTGATACGGAGTTAGAACACTGGTCTGTCAGTATTGTCTACTCTGGCTGGCCACAGCACTCCAGGGTTCTAGGCAGAGGCCTTCGACATCACAGGGCAACAGTGGGAGGGCTTCTAATGTCCTGGCCCCACTGGTGGACCTCCTGATGGCACCTGGTATTTCTGGCCACTTTGGCCTGATCCAACATTGGCATCTCTTATGTTCTTATGTTCTTACCTACTAACTGATCCTTAACTGGAGATGCCGGGGATTGGACCTGGGACCTCCTGCATGCCAAGCAGAGGCTCTGACACTGAGCTCCGGCCCCCTCCCCAAAATGCAGCCACAATACCTCTCTGCCAGAAGACCTGTTCTGTCCAGCTCTTTAAAAGCCTGCTGCATTTTTTAAAGTACCGGCCATCAAGGAGGTCAGAGCGGGACCAGACCTTTAGACCCGCAACGTCACAGGGACGCCAACCTCACAGGAAAGTTCCCCAGCACAGCGATAAGGAAGACGCAACAGCAATGTGGCATGGAGAAGAAGAGGTTGGATTTATACCCCACCCTTCACGACCCACAGGAGTCTCAGAGCAATTTACAAACTCCTTTCCCTTCCCCTCCCCACCACAGACACCCTGGGAGGTAGGTGGGGCTGAGAGAGCTCTGACAGAAGCGGCTCTCTTTCAAGGACAGCTCTGACAAAACTGTGGCTTGCCCAAGGTCATCCAGCAGGTGCCAGTGGAGGAGTGGGGAATCAAACCTGGTTCTCCCACATTAGAGTCCGCGCACTTAACCACTACACCAAAATAATTCTCAGTTTGGCCGCATCTAATTTCTCCTTTCTGAATCACGGAGGGGAAGCAACCGACGGCTGCTGACCAAGGAGAAGCCATCGAGGGCTGACCCAGCAAACCATTATGGGGAAGAGCTGGCCACAGAGATGCTATTCATTGCGGCATTCCCATCGAGATCATCTGCAGCGGCTTCTGCTCAGAGAATGTTGCCATGTTTTCCGGAGGAGGGATGCTTGCTTGGGCAACCGTGAGGTCAAGAACAGGGGAACACATTTATTTGGGATGAAATCATAGGGTCGGACCCAGACAGCTTTTCCCCTGGTGGAAAAGGAAGGACGGACCCTCTTGGACCACCCAAAAGGGCTGCGCTGGGGGATCATGGGACCTTCATGGACAAAAGCAGGGCTATTTTTGGGCAGGAACGCACAGCCGGCTGGCTCCCAAGTTGGCCACGCCCAGCAGGAACTCATTAGTATAACAGGCCACACCCAACAGCAGAAACTCATTAGGATTGGCCACGTTAGGGGTGTGTGGCCTAACATGCAAAGGAGTTCCTGCTACAAAAAAGGCCCTGGGTTTTGACAACAAACAAGGTAAACGGAATAACAAGCAAAAGGTGGGTGTGGCTGGATGACCACACTTCTGGTAACACGGGGGTGCGTCCTAATGTGCTAATGAGCTGTGCTGTCGGGGGTGTGGCCTAATAGGCTAATGAGTTTCGGCTGTTGGGTGTGGCCTATTATGCTAATGAGTTCCTGCTGGGCTTTGTCTACAAAAAGAGCCCTGGACAAAAGCCACGTGGGATGGGGGCTGTATAAGGCAGCGCTGGGCAAGACTGAGTGAAAAGGCCGGCTAAACCTGGCCCATCGTTTGTACTCGTCCCAAGAGCCCTTCCCTTCCCTCCCTGCCCAGATCCCAGTTCCAGCCCTCTCACCTTCGCCCTCTGCAGATTCTCCCTACATCCCTGCAGCTGCAGCCAGATCTTCCTCTCGCCCTGGGGCTCCCCGTCGGGACTCTGCGCCAACTCCAGCACCCCCAGGACGTTCAGCTCCACCCTGAAGAGCTGCTCAATCCGCGGGCGGTGGACCGTCATCATCTCCTGCGCCGCCTCGGGCACGGCAAATTCGTCCAGGGTCCTGCCGCCGCTCGGCATGGTGGGAAATCACGGCCTCCGGTCCTGGCGTCACGCTCTGTTTCTGTGACAGTGGGGGCCTTTGTGTGGCGTAGAAGCTGTGGGGGGAGGGAACAGTTTGTTGGAAAAAAAGAGTATCTCCAATGTCCCTTTGCTTACAAAAATTAACAATCGTTTATTGGTAGATTTATCCCCCGCTTTGGTCCCAGTGGGAACCCAAGGCATCTTACAATATCATCCCCCCCCCATGTTATCCTCATAACAACCATGTGAGGTGGGTTAGGCCAAGTGTGAACCTTCAAACCTCCCAAACTCTAACCACTGTGCGTATACCACATCTCTGCTTCTGCAAGGCTCTGTACCAGAAGTGGGAAAAGAAAGGGAAGGTGAGGGAAACCATAAAGCAGGGGTGGCCAAACTGCGGTTTGGGAGCCACATGTGGCTCTTTCACTCATACTTTGTGGCTCTCCCGGCAGGCTGGCTGGGGAAGCGAAGGGGAGGCACCTCCCTTCCACAGCCAGTGTTCCCTTCCCCGGGTAGGCTTGAGATGGGGGGGGGAGCAGAGAAAGAAAGCAACTTTAAATGCGTCCGGCTTGGAGAAGGCATTTGTCTCTTTAAACCCCTTCTCCAAGCCAGCTGACGTGGGGGTCTTGGAAGATGCATTTAAAGTGGCTTTCTTTCCACCTCTCCCTCCCCCATCTATTTGCTTTCTTTCCACCTTTCTTGTGGGTTATATTTGTTCATGTCTTGTGGCTCTCAAACATCTTATGTTTAGTCTATGTGGCTCTTACATTAAGCATGCTTGGCCACCCTTGCCATAAAGGGGGGAACAAGACTCATGGCTGGAAGCACAAGGAAAGGGATAACCGGCCCCGAGTTAGGGTTTGAGCTGGGCATACTTTAGCATTCCCCAGAAACACCACATATTTGTTCCAGAAAATTTCAGCTTTCCAACGTTCTAATTGTTTTAATTTAAACATTCAAGTTTCTAGTCCTCGGGATGATCAAGATAACTTTAAATGCACATGGACTGAAATATCGGTTTTGTTTGTTTAACCGCCTTCCTACCCTCTCTTGCCACAATCCGTGTGGTTTATAATACTCACGGCCAGGGGTCATTTTGTAGAAGAGGAGGTGCAGGAGCTCATTAGCATAACTCATTAGCATAACTTATTTGCATATGCCACACCCCCTGACATCACTGGAAGTGTGTCAGAAGGCAACACCCACCGCTTAGGCTCCACTGGACTGTTTTGGATTGCTAGCTATTGGGGGAGGGGAGGAACCTGCAGATCTGTCCTCGCAGAGGAGGGAGAGCTTGTACCTGACTAAAACTTGGTCTTAAAGGTGCCACTGGACTGCTTTGGGCCAGGGAGCTGGGGGAGGGGGGGCTCTGCAACCTACCTGGCTGCTTCTTGCTCTGACTGAGGGCTGCTGGGAGCAGTGGGTGGGGCTCGTTGCATGTGCCCGCCCCCTGGGCTCTTTACTGCCGGAGCTCCGCTCCCGTGCGCTCCTGCAGGAAATGACCCCTGCTCACGGCACAGTCCCCAAACCGCCAAGGCACTTTTTAAAGTGTATAACTGTGCTTAGGGTTTCACTATTAAGGGCAGTAGAAAAACGAGCGCACACACTTAACCCAAAGACACTGCTGGTTAATACATTCCGAGATTAGGCTGTAGGGTTTTGTTATCTTGGACTCTCCTCAAGGCCAGTGAACTCAGAACAAATAACGGGGAGGGGATTACACCCAGGTTGTTTGTTTTAAACACTGTGTGGGAAGCCTGGGAGTAACTCTTGGCAAGGGCTGCCTTATATTCTCACAGAACCAGGCCCAACACGCCAGCAGCCAGACGTTTTGCAGTGAGGGAAGCCCAAGGAGCTCGAATGCAACGGAGAACAGGCCGACCCTAACTAAAGATAGCCTATTTTTTTAGATTTCTGGTTGGTTCTACCCCCGATATCCTATTTCACTGTTGACTGAATAGCCCGTCTTGTTGACTGTGTCGACTCACTCCGTGTAATCTGCCTTGAGTCCACGTGAGAAAGGTGGGTTATAAATAACATAGCTAAATAAACTCAGGTGGGGTAGCCGTGGAGGTCTGAAGCAGCAGAAGAAAGGTGGGGTCCAGTGGCACCTCTAAGACCAAAAAAGTATCCGAAGAAGCGTGCATGCACACAAAAAGCTTATACCCAAAAAGCAACTTTGTAGGTCTTAAAGCTGCCACTGGACGCCTAAATATAGTCATTTGATTGTATTGAATATGATCAAAGCTCAATTCACACCATTTGCCGTAAGTCTACAAGTGCCTGTTGTCATTTGAGGGTGGCAACCCTCAGCTGTCCAGGACCTGGAAAAGCTTTAAACACATGGCATCAGAATCACGTGACCAGAAGAGTGCGAGCCAGAGTCTTGACTTCTAGCAAGTAGTTAAGTGGGTAGCCCCAGCTGCCAATCACTGAGGCCTGTCCATTGTCAAGGTCCCTTACATGACTCGGGGCATCCTTAGGTATGCAGCAAAATGTGTCCTATAAATCAACCCAAAACACACTGCCAGGACAAGGACTGAGCATGCTCCAGGAGGCACCGCATTCTGAAAGCAGTTCAGAGTCAAGCAAAAGTGTAGAGGCAATACCCTCCTCAGGCCTGTCAAAGATTTTACTAAGGGGGAGATTTGTGAGTGAAGAACAAATTATTGTCCCTTCTTGCAATTTCTCACAGGCTGCTATGTTATACATATAGCTAAATACAGATATAAAATGGCCTCTATTCCTGTAACTTGAAGCAGGAAAATAACATATTTCTCAAATTGACCAATATGGCATCAACTGACTCTTGCCTTCTAGCAGGGGTAATTTCCTGCGGGAGCGCACAGGAGCGGAGCTCTGGCAGTAAAGAGCCCAGGGGGCGGGCACATGCAACAAACCCCGCCCCCTGCTCCCAGCAGCCCTCAGTCGGGCCACGAGTAGCCCCAGCTGCCAATCACTGAGGCCTGTGCACTGTCAAGGTCCCTTAGATGACTCGGGGCATCCTTAGGTATGCAGCAAAAGGTGTCCTATAAATCAAGCCAAAACACATTGCCAGGACAAGGACTGAGCATGCTCCAGGAGGCACCGCATTCTGTAAAGTTCAGAGTCAAGCAAAAGTGTAGAGGCAATACCCTCCTCAGGCCTGTCAAAAGATTTTACAAAGGGGGAGATCTGTGAGTGGAGGACAAGTTTCCAAATGATTGTACCTTCTTGCAATTTCTCACAGGCTGCTAGGTTATACATATAGCTAAATACAGATATAAAATGGCCTCTATTCCTGTAACTTGAAGCAGGAAAATAACATATTTCTCAAATTGACCAATATGGCATCAACTGACTCTTGCCTTCTAGCAGGGGTCATTTCCTGCGGGAGCGCACAGGAGCGGAGCTCTGGTGGTAAGGAGCCCAGGGGGCGGGCACATGCAACAAGCCCCGCCCCCTGCTCCCAGCAGCCCTCAGTCGGCCACGAGGAGCAAGAAGCAGCCAGGTCAGTTGCAGACCCCCCACACACACACCTTCAGGTACAAGCTCTCCCTCCTCTGCGAGGACAGATCTGCACGTTTCCCCCCCAATAGCTAGCAATCCAAAACAGTCCAGTGGAGCCTGAGCGGTGGGTGTTGCCTTCTGACACACGTCCAGTGATGTCAGGAGGTGTGGCATATGCAAATAAGTTATGCTAATAAGTTATGCTAATGAGCTCCGGCACTTCTTTTTCTACTAAATGACCCCTGCCTCCTAGTATCCTGATCAGTCAATAATGCCGAGGCACAAGTCTTCGGTTTTATTATTGAAATTAAAATGTTTTCTTTAGATCTTTTTTAAAAAGGCGTTTTTGTGTTCTTTAAACCACATAGACAACTATATCCGTTGACGCTTTCCCAAATTCATTTAATTTGGCTGCAGCACAGGGTGTCCCACTTATCATTTCCTTCCGGTTCATGTTTTTATTGCATTTTATTTTTTGTCTTCTTATCTGCAAAGGGAGGCCAGGGATTTTGGATCGTGTGAGATATTGGTTTGCTACAAACAGCAGAGGGCATTGCTGGACACAGGGTGGAATCCGGTCATCCACTCTTGGACTAGAGGGACCCTGGGTTTGCCCCAGTGAATCTCCTGGGTCTTGATGTTCCCTCTAAGCTGTGGAGTTTTGTGAGCAAAACTTCTACTTTGTGAGCTACTGGGATTAAAGTTGTGAGCGAGCCATTTGGCTGCTGCATAAACTAGTTGGCTCTGGAGCCCTCCTTCCTGAGCTGAGACAAAAAGGTGTGAGCCGGAGGCTAAAAAACGGTGAGCTAGCTCACACTAACAGCTTAGAGGGAACACTCTTAAGAGACATACCAAGTTATTCCACACGCAAAGTGGCTTTCTACTGAGTCTGACACGATCCAAACCGGTCTTGTCTACTCAGACTGAAAGGGGCTCTGTAAGATTTCGGAGTAGAGGTCTTTCAAAAATTCTACTTTGTGAGCTACTGGCATTATATATGATGTGTTTATATACTGTTCTTAATATACCAATAAAAATTTTTTTAAAAAAAAGTTGTGAGCGAGCAATTTGGCTACTGCATAAACTAGTTGGCTCTGGAGCCCTCCTTCCTGAGCTGAGACAAAAAGGTGTGAGCCAGAGGCTAAAAAACGGTGAGCTAGCTCACACTAACTCATCTTAGAGGGAACACTGCCGGCTGAGACATACCGAGTTATTCCACACGCAAAGTGGCTTTCTACTGAGTCTGACACGATCCAAACCGGTCTTGTCTACTCAGACTGAAAGGGGCTCTGTAAGATTTCGGAGTTAGAGGTCTTTCACACCACTGGATCCTTTTAACTGGAGATGCCGGGGATTGAACCCGGGATCATCTGCATGTACCACTGCATGCTCTACCACTGAGGTCCCCTCTGGCAGGCCACCAGAGGGTGGTGGGGGGGGGGTAGGGTGGCCACATCCCAGGTTGGAAATTCCAGGAGATTTGGGGGTGGAGCCTGGGGAGGCCAGTGGGGCACAATGCCACAGAGTCCACCCTCCGAAACCGCCATAATATATGAAGAGAACTCCGTGGCGTACAATGCCACAGAGTCCACCCTCCAAAGCCTCCCTTTTCTCCAGGGGAACTGATCCCTGTGGTCCGGAGACGAGCTGTAATCCCAGGGGATCCCCAGGCCCCACCTGGAGCCTGGCATCCCAAGTTGCCAACTCCGTTAAGAAATTCCTGGAGATTTGAGGGGGTAGCCTGCAATGTTCCCTCTAAGCTGTGGCGTCTTGTGAGCCAAAATCCTACTTTGTGAGCTACCGCATTAAAGTTGTGAGCGGGCGATTTGGCTCCCGCATGAATTAGTTTGCTCTGGAGCCCTCCTTCCTGAGCCAAGGGAAACGTGTGAGCCAGAGGCTAAAAAGCTGTGAGCTAGCTCACACTCACTCAACTTAGAGGGAACACCGGTAGCCTGGGGACCTCAGTGGAGTAGAATGTCAGGATCCAGCCTCCGAAGCCGCCGTTTCCTCCAGGGGAGCCGGTCTCTGTTATGATTCCGGGAGATCTCCCGGTCACCCCTGGAGACTGGCAATCCCAGCTCGATGCCATTGCGAGAAGACAAGACAAACAAGAGGGCGCGGAAGTGCCCGGCGACTGTTGATGTGCAAAGGCAGCCATGCGCAACTTTCCCATGAACGGGGCCCCACCGATGGGACGGGCCAGAGGCGGCCCCCCGGGAAAGCACCTCGGAGGGAGGAAAAAGCCAGAAAATAATAATAAAAATTGCAATCACCGACAGGCACGACAGACCCAAAGCTGCTTCTCGCCTTCTACCGACAACCCCCGGAGAGAGCGCCTCGCTTCCCCGGCTCTCGGTTTCCTTTCCTTGCAACGCCTGCCCCGCAGGGCGGGATCGCGCTCGGAGGCGGCGCGGGGACCCACCCCCCCAC